GGCTGGGGAGCGGGCCCGCTGCTGTGCCAGGCGCATGTGTGCGCCCCCTCACTGCTCCTTGCCGCTGCTCAGCAGCTCGCCCTCCATCTGCTCCTCCTGGTACCGCACGAAGCTGTGCCAGGGCTGCAGCAGCGACTGCAGCCAGCCGGCGCCGCCGGTGAGCGCGGCGCGCGCGGCCGCCGCGCCCGCGGCCCGCCCGGCCGCGCGGCGCCGCTTGGCAGCGGCCCGCCGCTGCGCGGCCGCGCGCGCCTGCCGCCGGTCGCCCTCCTCGCTGTACTGCCCCTCCAGCTGCAGGTACAGGTGCTGGTACCCGTCGGCCATGAGCATGTGCCACAGGCTGTGGAACAGCCAGTAGTGGCGCGGCAGGAGCTCGGGCAGGGGGAAGACGGCAAAGCCGAGGGCGTAGCAGGCCAGCGTGCGGCGGCCGCGGCGCGGGCAGTACTTGGGCAGCGTGCCCCAGCCCTCCACCGCCGCCTTGCAGGCCAGCGTGGCCAGCAGGACCACCACCAGCACCTGGAGGCGGGCAGGCAGGGGTGCGGGCGGGCAGGGGTGTGGGCAGGAGCGTGGCAGAACCCAGCAAGCCCCAACCAAGCGGCATTTCCTCAAGCGGCGAAGTCAGGGGCAGCCCTGCGCTGTTTCTCAAAATATGTATAAACCCACCTTGGAGGCAAAGCCCAGGGTCAGCACGCCGTCAGCCAGCAGGTGGGCGTAGGCGAGCAGGGTGGCGGGGTAGGCCAGGTTGGCGACGAGCAGGGTGGCCGGGGAGCGGGCGCCCAGCGCGTGGCCCAGCGTGCGTGCCAGCAGGGCCTGCGCCATCAGGATGTCCAGCCCGCGCCAGGTGGAGCCGGGCAGGCCCAGCAGCGTGGCGGCGGCGATGCCGTCGGGGTGCATGTGCAGCCAGTGGTAGATGAGCGCCAGCACGAAGCCGAGGGAGAAGAGGAAGACGTCCAGGCGGCGGCCGCGCCGCCAGAACAGCTGGATCGTCTGCATGCGCAGGGGAAGAGCGGGAGGGGAGGGGTCGTTGTGTGTGTGGCGGGGGGTGGGAAGTGCGGAGCTGGGCCCAAGGAGCCGCGGCTGAGAAGGGCGCCTGGCGGGCGCAGCGGAGCCAGGCTGCCATGGCAGGCGAGACGGGAGCCACGCCAGGCACGAGCAGCAGCAAGTTGGCAGGCGGCGAGGCGCTTGCCTGGGCGCAGGGCAGCATGGTGATGAGCGGCAGCAGGTCGCAGGCCAGGTTGCCGGTGTTGGCGCTGGCCACGCCGCGATCCAGGGGCACCTCAGGCAGCGCCTGATGCAGCAGCTCGAACACGATGCTCTGCAGGGGGGAGCGAAGAGGGGAGTGGGCGGCGGGAGGCCAGGGCTTAGCGCAGCGAGGTGCAGGAGGCGGTGCAAGGCAGACCGGACCCACCAACGCATCGGCAGCTGCGGGGCAGCGGCGGGCGGCATGGCGCCAGCCGACGGCGCTGGGCGTGACGCTCAGCCTCACCATGTTGCGCGGTTAGCGGGACTGCTGTGCCTCGGGGGCTCTAGACTGTCACAGCCCCGCCGAAACCAGATGCTGGGCTGCTTCTGGGAGGCGCAAGAGGCGTTGGCGCGGTGCTGTAGGGCTGTTCCACGCGTGCACTGCGCGGGGCTGCAGGCAAGGCCGCTCCAGAGAGCTCCACGCGGTGTCAGGTGTTCGCGTGGGAAGCACGCCGAGGCCCGGAATCCCACAAAGATCGCGGCTTTGGGCACTGCTGAAGAGATGCAAGGGCTGCGGGGGAGCGAGGAGGGGTAGAAGGGGGATGGCGGCGGGTGCGGCCACCTGGCGCAGCAGGCGCTGAGGCGCCGGACTCGATCTGGAGGAGGCCAATTGCAGCTTACATGTGCACATGCACCCGAGTGAGGGGGCGTTAGCATAGCCACAGGAGATACACAGGATCCTAAGTGAGATCCTCCTCCCCCTCCTCATCGATCGCCACGCCCGCGCCGCCGCCGCTGCCGCCGAGCTGCACCGCCTGCACCGCCAGGTCACCCTGCGGCAGCTTGCGTGCCAGCCGCGCCACCTGCACGGCACGGCAGCGCCGCGGATGGAGGGCCGCGTCGTCAGAGCAGGCTCTCCCCTGGCTGCGCATCACTTGGCAAGCAGAGCTTGGCCAGTGGCATCAACATTAGCTCCCGTTGGCATCAATGCACCAAAAACAGCCAGCTGGGCAGCAGGGGCGTGCCTGGTTGTCTAGGTTGGAAAAGACGGCGCTGCGCTTCACCGCCGCCTGGATCGCCGCGGGGTCGCCGCTGCAAGTGGGGCAGGCCGGGGGAGGCGGGCAGGGAGCGGCCGCTGGTGAGCCCAGGCACCCAGGCAGAGCAGGCCGAGGAGGCAGGCGGCGGGATGCGGCAGCAGCACGCGCGCGCAGCATGCACTGCTCGACCGCTCCTGCTGCCGCTGCCCTTGCCTGCGGTAGGCATCAAACAGCGCATCTGCCGCAAACGCCTCGTCGCTGCTCATGAAGTTGTCCACACCCAGCGCATCCTGCTCAACAGGGGGCGGGCAGGCAAAGCGAGAGTGGGCCACCTGGGCTGGGCTGGGCAGGCAGGCCGGCTGGGCAGCCAGGCAGCCCCGGATGGAAAGTGTGGCTGAGCTCGCGACTCTGCCAGCCAGCCAGCCAGCCAGGGGCATGCGCCAGGCCCAGCCACCGCCTTCACCGCGCCGGCTTGCCTGGTAGGTCGCCCACGCGTTGTTGGCCTTGCCTGCGTGCAGCCACACCACCACCGCGCCCAGGTATGCCTTGCACTCGCTGTTGCGCGCGCCCATGCCGTCGCACGCCACCGCAAACCGCAGCAGCATGCCCACTGCGTCCGCCCACTTGCCCGCCCGCACCAGCTGCGCCACCGCCTGCCTGCAAGGCAGATCGTGCACAGGGCAGGGGTGGTTGTTACAGGAGGCGGAGCGAGAGGCAGGCGGATGAGCAGCCACTGCCGCCAGCGTGCCCAGGCGAGCAGGGGTTCCCCTGAGGTGCCTGCTGGCCAGCCGATGCAGAGGCGATGCCTGGGCTGCGCTGGCCTGCACCTGAAGATGTCTCCCGCCATCGCATCCTTGCCCGCATCCTCCAGCCACTCCACCGCCTTGCGATACATCTCTTGGGACATCTGCACCCATGTGTGTATGTGTGTGAGTGTGTGAGTGTGCGAGTGTGTGTATGAGTGTGAAAAACAGAGAGAAAGTATGTGTGAGAGTGTGACGCCAGCAGCGAGCGAGTGGAAGGGTCGGGGGTATGGCGCGTGCAGCGGCTGGCCCAGGCGCCGTCCCGCGCCCTCGCCCACCTCTGGCTGCCGCTCCTCCAGCGCCCGCGCGCCCCGAGCCGCCGCCTCTGCCGCCGCCGAGGGCCGCCCCTCCTCAGCGTACAGCTGCGCGGCGCGGGAGTAGTGCGCCTCCACGTCAGCCCACATGCCCAGCTCCTTGGCCGCCTCCCCAGCCTTCTCCATGTTCTTGGCCGCATGCCACCCGCTCTTCTGCCGCTCCTGCCCCGTCGCCGCGTGCTCGTAGCAGTCCTTGGCGCGGTTCACGTCGCCGCATTGCTGCGGCAGGGCGGGGTGGGGTGTGGGGGGGTGTGGCCAGGAGGCACGGCGGGCGGGCAGCAGGTGGCTGCTGCGACGGGCGGCGGCGGCGGGAAACCCTGGTGGGCGTCACGGCCCCATTTCTGCCTCACCTTGAACAGCATGGCGGCCCGCTCCCACAGCGGGGTGGCCCGCTCCCACTCGCCCCTCATGCGGAAGCTGAGCAGCGAGGGGGTGGTGAGCTTGACGGCCTCCTGGTACAGCTTCTCAGCCTCCTTGTGCCTGTCCACCATGGCTGCTGCGATGGGTGGACGGACGCAAAAGTATCGGACGTTCTCCCTGAGCTTTCTGATCGATCACGGTGCTCGCGCTGTGCAGGCGATGTTGCAAAGAGAAGCGGAACTCCAAGGGCGGCTGATCAGCGACTCACAATGACGCAGGCCAGCCCGCAGCATGCCCGCCGCGCCGCTGATGGTGGCGGTGGACGAGCTTGCGGTGTGACTGCGCGACCTACGAGATCTTGCACAATCGAGGAATCAATTTATCAACCATCAGGGCCACTTGCAGCCAGCAGGGCCACTTGCCAACCGATTCTCTGCAGGACACACTTGGCCGCCTTTCCGCTGCCGCCCGTTGCCGCTCGCGGGCTGCCGCCTGCCGCCCTGGTCAAGCTCGCTTGATCAGGAGGTCATGTAATTGGTGGCGCAGCAAAGGAAGGGTGGCAGCCACGCACTGCAATGATCCTGCCATGATGCCTCATTCCTCTGCAAGCCCGGCGGCGTTGTTAAACGCCGCCGTCCCGCCGTACTGTGTTGCCTGAATTTCCCTCCCAAAACAGGCCGATCAAACCTTGTTTATTGCAGGTTGGTTTCAATCGGGCTGCTGCTTCCAGGTATTTGCAGGCAGCCCGCAGGAGGCAGCCCTGCTTTCAAGCCCCTTTTAAACGGGCGGGTGAGGTTGCCATGGGGCGGCTGAGGGAGCGGGGCCCCGAGCCCAATTACAATGAGACCAACAGCGATGACGATGGCGCCTCGGACGCATCACTGGGCAGCGTCGATGAGACCAGCCCACAGCCGGAGGCAGCTGCCCGCCTCAAGCGCGGGCCCTACGCCAAGCGGCCGCACGCTCTGGGCCAGAAGCGCGCCAACGGCGATCTAGAGGGCGCGCCAGCAGCCAGGCGGCGCAGGTGGGCAGTGGGAGGCGGGCGGCAGCGGACTGGCTTGGTGGCACCGTCTCCAGAGGCCTCTGCTCTGCGCCTGCCTGGCTGCTTCACTGCGAGGTGTGTGATCCAACACAGCAACGCCGACCATTCAAAACTTGCACGCCTGCCTGCTGCAGGGCCGGGGCCAGCCCTGCGGCCAGCGGCAGCGACGACAGCGGCGGCGAGGAGGGCGATGACCCAATTGAGTCGGCCGATGAGGCCTCGGCTGCGGCAGAGGCGGCAGACGCCGACTTCCAAATGGAGGACGAGGAGGTGGCGGCTGAGGAGGAGGAGGAGGAGGAGCTGCAGCAGCAGTCTGCGGAGTCTGGTTGGGAGGAGGAGGAGGAGGAGGAGGCTGAGGTGGTGCCGCAGCTGCGGGCCAACAGGTGTGCGGAAGCGTGTGGATGGCTGGGGCGCGCTGCCTGCGTGCACTGCAGCCACAAATATCCGCCAGGCATTGAGTGCCAGGCTGACGTCGCTTTGTTGCCTGCCCTTGCGCTGCTGTGGTTGTACTGTCGCAGGGCGAGGCGCACTGCCAAGCAGGGACAGGCGGAGAAAGACGAGGAGGAGGACGAGGAGGGGGGAGGGCGGGGTGGCCGCAGCACGCGGCTGCGTGGCGCCGCCATGCCCAACTATCGCGAGCCTCGCAGCGATGAGGAGGGGGAGGAGGAGGAGGAGGCGAGCAGCCATGGTGAGAAGGCTGATGTGGCGCCTGGATGCGACCGGCACCCTCCTACCCCTGTTGCAATGCAAACTGCTTCGCCGTATGCTGAAGTGTCGTGTTGGGCTGTGTATTGACCATATGCATGGCGGCCTGCAGATGAGGAGGACGAGGGCGAGGAGGAGGAGGAGGAGGAGCAGCCTCGCAGGCAGCAAGCAGCTCGGCGGCCCGCAACTCGCCACCGCGGGGCGCGGCAGCCCGAGGGGCGGCGCACGGGGCGGGAGAGGCAGCGGGTGTGCTACAATGAGGACGTGCTGCTGGTGAGTGGGTGCACTCTGGGGCGCGGGCACTCGTGTGCGTGCCTGCCAGGTTGGAACAGCTGGCGGCAAGCTGCCCAGCCAGCACAATGATGCACCCGCCCTCCCTGCTGGCTGCCGTCGCGCCGCTCTTCTTGCCGCGCCTCCCTCAGCCCCGGATGCTGGCCTGCTGGTGCTGCCTCCCTGCCTGCAGGGTGTGATGGAGGAGAGCAGCGAGGAGGAGGAGAGCAGCAGCGAGGAGGAGGAGGGCTCAAACGACGAGAACGCTGCGCAGCCCTTGCGCCCCACACGACGCGCCGCCAAGGCCGCCGGCCGCGCCATCCGGCAGCAGGCTGGCGCGCCCAAGCGCCGCAAGAATCCGAAGCGAGCCGCAGCGCCAGGTGCGAGTCGGCTGGCTGGGTGTGTGTCTGTGTGCTGTCGTGGGCAGAGGTGGGGCAGTGTGCGTAGCCGTGGAGGAGGCGGCTTGTGCAGGGTCAGTTTGGGGCTGCGGGAACGGCTTCCTGCCACATGTGCTGCGCTGCGTCATCAGCTCGCTTGTATTGCTCCACCCCACTTGCCCTCATGCCGCAGCATCCAAGCGGCGGCAGGCGGTGGTGGACAGCTCTGATGAGGAGGGCTCGCAGAGCGGCGGCGACTCGCAACGGGAGAGCGAGGAGGAGCACGGCTCGCACGACGCCTCCTCGTCTGGCGACGACAGCGATGGCGCAGGTGCGCAGCCGGCGGGCTGCCAGCATCATGACTGCCGCTGGCAGGTGGCTGCATGCTTCATTGGTCACCACACTTTTCCGCACCACGCTTAGAACCTGGGGTGTACCGCTGTGGTACCGCATATGTACTGGACGTCAGGAGGGCAGCAGCAACACCTGAGCTGCCTTCCGTGCCGCCCGCTCCCTGCTCCCCCCACAGAACTGGACTACGAGCGGCACAAGGTGGAGAAGATCCTGGAGAGCCGCGCCGCTGGGGACGGCAGCGGCGACGAGTTCCTGTGCAAGTTTGAGGGTGCGGCCTGCTGGCCCCGCCTTGGCCTGCTGCCTGCGCTGTGCGGGAGGCCCTGCCTGTTGGTTGGGTGCTGGCTAACTGCCTACTCCCTGCGCCTGGCCGTAGCGCAGGCCTGTCGTACCGCAAGACCCAGTGGCTTCCCTACGATGTGCTGTCAGGCGCGGCGCCCTCTGCTGCCGGCGGGCTGCCACCAGCCGCCTGTGTTGCATCGCGGCTAGCAGCTGCTGCCACCAGCTGCCTGTGCTGCATGGCGAGCAGCCCAACCGACGCCACCCCTGCCCTGTGCCTGGCGCTTCCCTTCGTGTACTGCAGTGGACCGCCTGCAGCTGCTGCGCAACTTCCAGAAGAAGAAAGCGGCCGGGGAGGTGGACCCGTATGGCGACCTGGTGGAAGGGGTGCACCCAGACTGGAGGGAGGTGGGTGGGGCCAGGCCTGGGGCAAGTGTGCCACAGCAGCGGTACCTGTGGTCCGGGCCGATAGTGGTGTGGAATGGCGCGCAGTGTCAGCAGTTTTTGGCAGGCTTGGCAGGTCACATCCCCTCCCTGCCTCCCTCCCTCCCCGGTCGCCCCCGGCAGGTGGACCGCGTGATTGCGCACCGCTCCCGCCTGGGTCGCCGCACCTTCCTGGTCAAGTGGCGGGGGCTGGGCTACTCGGAGAGCACCTGGGAGCCGGAGCGGGACTTGGAGGGGGAGGAGGTGGGTGGGTACAGCGCAGCGCCTCCTGCTGGATACAGCGCAGGGAGGTGGGTGGCTGGGTGAGCGGGAAGAAAGAAGCGGATGGCAGCGCCAGCATGGTGGCAACGCACTCAGCTGGCACCTGCCGCCCTGCTCCCACCTGCAGGCCCACATCGAGCGGTACGAGCGGTACAGCACGCTGCCCGAGGAGGGAGAGGAGCCGCAGGCCATGGTACCCACAGACGGTGCGCCGCCCGCCGCCGCCTCTCCCGCCGCCTGCAGAGCCGGCGGTCGCTGCGGCTGCTCTTTGTTGCGCCGCACGCGGACACGGCCACTCCCGCCGCCACCCATGCACACACCCAGGCGCCACGCCTCTCACCGCCGCGGCCGCCTCTCCGCCCTGCAGTGCCCGACTTCTGCAACGGCCGCCAGCTGCGGGACTACCAGCTTCTGTCTCTGGAGTGGAACGTACGCAACTGGATCGCCCAGCGCAACTGCATCCTGGGGGACGAGGTGGGTGATGAGGAGGTGGAGCAGCAGATCAGTCGGCAGGGATTGGGAGAGCCCTGGGAGGGAGAGGCGGTGGAGTTGGGCAGAATCCCAGGGGCAGAGCAGAGGGAGCGGCTGGAGTGGCTGCCGGCCTGCCGCTTGCGCCGGCAGCAGCGGCAGCAGCCTGGTGCCCTGCTTGGTGGCGAGCTGGTCCGCTAGCTGCATCATCCATCCTGCTGCCTCCGGTGCGCCGCCGCTGCAGATGGGGCTGGGCAAGACGGCGCAGTCCATCGCTGTCCTGGCCTACCTGAAGCAGTTTGGCAACCGCCGAGGCCCCTTCCTCGGTGCGTAGTGTGCCGCTTGAGCGCAGCGGCTACATGGCGCCACCAGGCTGTCTGGAGCCGCTCGCAGGCCGCCCCCGCACACATCTGTGCCTGTGCCTGCCTGCCTGCCTGCCTGCCTGCCTGCAGTGATTGCACCACTCACCACGCTGGGCCACTGGCAGCGCGAGATCGAGACCTGGACAGACATGAACTGCGTGGTGTATGCGGGCGGCGCAGCAGACCGGGAGGTCATCCAGGTGTGCGTGAGTGTGTTGGTGTGTGTGTGGCCTGGTGTGAGTTGGGGTGGCCGGCACGGCTGCATCGCTGCGCCGGCTGCCCCGCCCGCACGCCCTGCCTGCTGCGCCCTCCCCCGCCACCCGCCCATGCAACCCTTCTACCTTGCTTTCCTCCACCTGCCTGCCCGCATCCCTGCCTCCCTGCCTGCGCCTCTACCGCCAGCGCCACGACCTCTTCTTCGCCTCCACCGACGGCGACGGGCGGCGGCGGCGCGCCCGCGCCGTCAAGCCCAACGTCGTGCTCAGCTCCTACGAGACGGTGCTGAAGGACAAATCGCTCTTCACGGTGCGGCTGGGAGGGGCTGCCGGGGCCTGGTGGCTGTGCGGCTGTGC